CTATTCGGGTGTGCATGTAGTGGAATTATTCGAATACTTCATTCTAAATACTCAATCTCAATCATATTTGATGATTGCAGATATGTGAACAAACAGATAGACGATTTTGCAGACATTCGTAATACAAATTTTATTCGAATCTCAGTTCCAAAATCACTCGAACTCGAATATTCAAGTGTCAATGTTTCAAAATATTTGACTGCTCGAATGATGAGTGTATGCATTTATTCGAATATTCGACTACTTGAAGAAACCAATAAATGCTTTTGGGGATCGAATATTGAATATTCGAGCTATTCGAAGTATTCGAATATTTTATTTCAATACGAGTTCGGTCTGTAGGCGCCACAACCTTCATTTCTGCAATTTCAAAGGTATGAGGCCACATTTGTGATAATCGCGTCAAAGGCCCAAGACGAAGAGAGCAAAGTAGAATTAGCCAGGACATGTTGTCAAACAATGCTTTCATAGCAGATGTAGCGTTGACATTTTCTTTCCCCCTTTCCTCAGCATAATTTGAGTTAGGCTAAAAACTTCCAAATTGACATACAATGTTCAATTTTGATATTCGAAAAAAAGCTTTCGCCCACAAAGCCTTAGAAAATGTAAGGCAGATCTGCAGTCTGTGTTTTTATGTCACAACAGCGTCCTGCCACGAATGACCATTTCGATCAAATACTTTCCTTTGTCAAAGCAATTCCGCTTTCAGTAATGAGTGTTGATGTTTCCTATAAATTGCTTGCAAACCATAAAGCAGCCTGCAAATGCTCGCATCCGCCGAATTATGCGCGGCTATATCATGGAAGCTCTCTCTGATTTGCTATTTCCATTAACTAAGTGTTCAGTACTAATGAGGCTTGTGAAGAGAAGTCTAAACCAAAAATGAGTGAAAAGAGAGAGAACCACAAAGCTGGACCGCCTACCTGGCCGACATGTTTTTTTTTTAAAGATATGAGAGTCCTTTTTATTAACTAAAACAGGCAAACTTTAAGAATTCCTTGGAATTTCCCAAGATTTCGAGATTAATGCATGTGCAGATCGTAGTAAATTGAGACTCATTTTGA